GTTTCTCTCTCTCTCTCTCTCTCTCTCTCTCTCTCCCCTCCCTCCCTCCTCCGTCCCACTCTCCCTAAAAATCAGTGGAGAGAGTATCCCTGGGTGAGGAGTAACAAAACAAACAGAACAGAAGCGATGCTGGAGGCCACATGGTGGAGCCTGGCCCAGTCGGGGAGAACAGCCTGCCTCATGGAGGAACTTTTCTTTTCTATTATTTTATTATTTTTTAATTAATTAATTTTGTTTTTGTTAACCCTCACCCAAGGATGTTTTCCCATTGATTTCTAAAGAGAGTGGTGGAGCCCTAGCCGGTGTGGCTCAGTGGATAGAGCGTCGGCCTGCGGACTGAAGGGTCCTGGGTTCGATTCCGCCCAAGGGCACAGGCCCGGGTTGCAGGTTCGATCCCCAGTGGGGTGCGTGCAGGAGCAGCCGATCCATTTCATTTGCTCCATTTGGCTTGGCTGAGTCTTGGATTCCATTACTGCTTGATTTTCACTTCTCTGCCCACCACTCCCCTTTGTGCTTGATGTGTTAGAGGATGCCTTGTTTTGCTTTTTGTTTTTAGTTCATTTGTTTTGTTTTTTGTTTTGTTAATCCACACCTGAGGATATTTTTCCATTAAAAAGAGAGAGAGAGAGAGAGTGGAGGGAGAGACAGAAAGAAACATCGATGTGAGAGAGACACATTGATGGGCTGCCTCCTGCACGCGCCCTGACCAGGGCCGGGGCCTGGGAGGAGCCTGCAACCCAGGTACGTGCCCTTGACCGGAATCGAACCCAGGACCCTTTGGTCTGCAGGCTGATGCTCAGTCCACTGAGCAACACCAGCCAGGGCACAGAGGGACTTTTCATAGCCACGCCCGTGTTTTAGGTGAGGCCTGGGGGAGCTCTGGGTGTCCACTCACGGCAGGTGGAGGAGAAGGGGTGTGGGCTCCCCCCACCCCCCGCCCCAGGGCTGTGGCTGCGGGAATCAAGGTCGGCTGGAGGCAGCAGGAGCTTCCGGTCTGTCCAGTCCTGCCTGCTGGTCTATTTCGACTCTGTCCAGAGAAGGAAATGTGTGGGCACCGCCCGGGGGTCCCCCAGGCCCAGCGAGGCCCTCTCAGCCGGCCCGCTGCCTCCTGCTGCCGTAGCCACGGTGCCACGGGGACCCCAGAGCAGGTCTCCCAGCCCAGACCCTCCGAGCCCAGGTTGGGGCGGCCTTCTCTCCGGGTGCACGGAGGACGCTGCGGGCAGGGGCTTCCCGGTGCAGAGCCGGGGAGGGGAGGGGAGGGCAGGGCCCCTGGTCTTGGCTGCGGTGCCATCGCTCTCCGCCGGGGCCCTGGGTCTGTTGTGTGACCTGGAGGAGATGTTTGCCAGGTGTAAACACTCATCACTCAGCAAACAGGACTCCGGTTCTGTTTTTGCAAATGTCACCGTGACTCTGGGCTGTCCACGGTCATCGCCCCAGTTTGCCCCATGACGTGTGGCTGTTCTGCTGGATCCCGGCCACCGTGTTGGGGTGTTTTTCTCCCCAGGCGGGTGTGTGATGGTCTGGGGGGGGCGGGTAACCCCACCAGGTTCTTGCCTGCGTTATGGAGGCAGCCTTTTGATTTTACACGAATAATTATTTTTTTCCTTTTTTTTTTGTGAATCCTCACCTGAGGATATTTTTTCCATTGATTTAAATACATATATATATACACACACACACACACATATATATATTTATTGATTAATTG